GGGAGACATATGAAAGGAAGTGGGAGACAAGCCAGCCGGGAACCCGACCCACAAGCACCCAGCCTGGAAGACAAATGAAAAGAACTGGGAGACAAATGAAAAGAAGTGGGAGACAAATGAAAAGAAGTGGGAGACAAATGAAAGGAAGTGGGAGACAAGCCAGCTGGGAACCCGACCACAAGCACCCAGCCTGGGAGACAAATGAAAAGAACTGGAAGACAAATGAAAAGAAGTGGGAGACAAATGAAAGGAAGTGGGAGACAAGCCAGCCGGGAACCCGACCACAAGCACCCAGCCTGGGAAACAAATGAAAAGAACTGGGAGACAAATGAAAAGAAGTGGGAGACAAATGAAAGGAAGTGGGAGACAAGCCAGCCGCGAACCCGACCACAAGCACCGAGCTTGGGAGACAAATGAAAAGAACTGGGAGACAAATAAAGGGAAGTGGGAGACAAGCCGGCCGGGAACCCGACCAGACCATCCAGCAACCAGGCGACCATTCTTTAAAGCATTGAGAACCCCTAACAGTAAACTGTTTGGGGAAATAGAACAGGAGTAATTGGGTTAGGGTGTCCTGCTTGATTCCTTCTCCAAAGCTTCAGGCTTCAGATACTTGCTCTCATCTTCCTCTCGAGTGACTCTAATGCGGCCTTGAGCTGTCAAGGAGCGGTGCCAAGTCACCATTCTCCAACATTTGCTCCCTGCTATTGATTCCCCAACCATGCTCCATCAACCTTCCATAACAAAGTATGGGTTGGTTCACCTTTGACCTGAAGGTCGCATTCTCTCTGAGAAGAACTTTTCGTCCATGGAGGTCATGCAAGGACATTTCAACACTTTTCGCACCTCCTGTGGGAATACGATTTCATTGTGCATCTTGTAGCTGGGTCTTTGCGCTGAATTCCAACTCTCCTTCCCCATGACCTGCCATACTCGCAGGGAATAATGCTACATCAGCTCCACTGTCAATAATGATGGCCACACCCTCATTCTCTTCCAAGTCTCCTCACCATGCGATCATCATCTGAGATGTCAATCTCCTCAACTTCCTGGAACTCTGGCTCACCATCATTACCATCATCTCGAATGTAGAAGTGACTTGCTCGAATTCCATGATCTTCTAGCTCATCATCCTTTTCTCGCAGCTCAAAGATGATTGGCTCACTGTTCTCAATTCTTCTGACCACCGGTTTGGTCCCTGCTGGGCTACCCTGCTGACTGACATTGGCATGTTGTTGACCAACTGTATGGGTAGTCACTGATCCTCCTCCTGAAGATGAATGTGCCTGATCCCTTGCTACCTGTCGAATATTGTTCCTCCAACAGTCTTTAGCAAGATGTCCTGGCTTTCCACGAGTGTAACACGTTGCCACACCTTTGCCTTTCTGGCGCTTGCCTTTACCTGTGCCCTTGTGATCACCTTGTTCTCCTTTCTGATCTCCTTTCCCTTTATTTTCTTTGCCCTTGGAACCTTTACCTTTACCCTTTTGATGGTCATTCTTGACCTTCTTACCTTTCCCCATGGCATCTTGGACTCGGTCAGTGTCCATTGGCATAGGTCCTTGATAGTCTGCACTGCTACTAGCCACCATGGACAGTAGCCCACTTCTACTGAGAGCGCTCCCATTGCAACACTTGTTCCCCCAAAGTTGAGTATTGAACATTGTCGCCGATTGTCAAGTTCAAGTAGGATTTGAGCTGTCCTTCTACACACCTCCAAAGAATAGCAGATTTCAACACTTCCTGAATTCTAGTCCCTGCCTTGACGGTCTCATCAAATACTTCTTCAAGCTTCAAGAGTTGAGGTTGCAGTGCACTGTTCATTGAAAAAGCTGGCCATGTAGTAGCTGCTCCGAAGAGTGCCAAGCCTCTTGCCTTCGAAGTTGGCTTCAAAGCTTTCTTCAAACTCCACCAGGCATCAAAACCCATTCGAGTCCTCCACAGCTTTCACCAATTGCAGCGCCCTTCCTCTCATCAATGAAGCTAACACAAGCTAACAACCCATAAAGCTTGATGCACCTGGTCTTATCCTGTGAAGTTGCCAAGTCCCAATCAAAGCTCTCATTTGGTTTCTCATGAATTTCCTTGAAGTCCTTCATTTAGCCCTCATTCACTGCACTCACTCTATGGCTCGGAATCGCACCCGGGATCCCAGTGACCTAGGGGCTTTTCCACTGGAGCTCAAAGGTGGATACCCTTATCCCTGCCCCGCTACCATACGCACCTTTCTTGATTCACAAAAGGGCTGCGCAGTGCTGTCATGCATACTTCATGATGCTGGCTATGCTGTGCATCTCTACTGTGGTCTGTATGGAAAATGGTTCACAATAAATTGTGGTTCATCACAACTCCTTCTTACTGAAACGCAATTCTCGGCTAAAACTATTACTTTCGCGAGCTCCATGTTTAACTTTCGCGGGAGCACCGTAATCTATCCGTACGTGACAAAGCTCTACTACCCGTCCCGTGGCTCGCTCACCTAGCTCGGCCAAACAGCACAAAAACAGTTTGCAAACACTTCACTGCACTCTCGTGTGAAACATTGCATACATAGAGTAGCTGTTGTCATCCTATTGTCATGCTCATGTCTTGCTGCTAGGCCTCTGCTTAGCTTTCAGAACAATGCGGTGTGGAATCAGTCCCTGGCTACATGTGAGCAGCATGGGTCCACAAAAAAGGCTTTCACATTCGCCAATGCTTTCGCGGAACTATCGCCGAAAAATGTCGCGTCATTAGTGGGTTTCAGCTATAGGGATGTTGCATGGTAAGTGTGAGCCGTGCAATGTGCAAAGGAATACATAACATAACTTTGTATGTGGGTCAAGCTCCTCCGAGTGAAGGACGTATAAAGTAAATCATCTTAATATAGAGTAAAATTGTATAAAATCGCATCTTTCGCAAAAAATATATCTACTCCCGCGAACTCGGAAAAACGTTTGCGAACAACATAATCAACATAAAGAGGCTCTTGATGACATAGGCCTCAATATGCCTTAATGTCGATCTTTCAATCAACTACTATAATATACAGGCCAATGCCCTGTTCTTTGTCGCTGGTTGAGAACGTCCTGTTTGTCTGAGGACCAAGCCCATTTTCCTTGCCGCTTATAACGGAGAAGCCCACACGCAAGTGGAGCTATAAGTGGTGCGTGCCCCTGAAACGTCGAGGCCATCGGTTGCTGAACTTGTTGGAGCGAAGTAAGTGAAACCACAAGACAGCAATTGGGCGGTGTCATGCAACATTTACTTGCTGTAGTGGGCGAAGGCCTGATGATTTGACTCGGGGGTGGAGCGCATGCTACGTCGACTCAACCACAAAGGCACTTCAGTGAAACTTCAGGCTGCAACCCGTAAAATGCCAAGACGGCCTTCCAATCCTGGCCTCGCAGCTCTAAAGTGTCAAGCCTGTTGCTGCAGGGTGTGAAAACTGAGAGAAGGACAAAGACACTTCTGAAACCACGGTCTTGAGCTGCATGCCTCAGGCAAAGAACGCGGGTCCATATCAAAGAATCATGGCAACTTCAATCAGCTCAACTCCATGGGGCCTTCTATCGTCAAGACCTGCATCATTGTGCACCACAACTTCCACAAAACCCTTGCTTGCACCATCATGTTTCAACCACATGCTTTGTGTTCGAAGGCATTGGGCTGCCTTCATCAATATCCGGTCAACTGTGACGGGTTCTCCTGACTGTCATCCCGCAGCGCTCACAGCATTGCATGAAACAGCAAAGTAATGATTGATTGCTGCCTACATCACCTGCCCTGAAGCCAACTCGCCATAAACATTAAAACTTCAAACCAACTCCAACAAGTTCGCGTCCTGGAATGTCCGTTCCGCCGGAAACCACAGCAAATGACTCTTGCCACCTGTCCAAGCTCATGGGGCCAAGGCATGTAGTAACTTGTGCTCGTTAGGCCAATCGTTGCACAAACCTTCTCCAAACATCTTTAACAACTTATCAGTAAAGCTTTCCACATTCTATTCAAGACAACTTTGGCCAGCTGAACCAGTGGCGGAGCAATGACATGTTGGGGAACATGGAAAAAGCACCGTCGGCTGTGGAAACTGATGCTGTTGCTGTTGTTCTGCCCGCCTAAAAGCTTCGAGCATCGCTTAGGACGAGCTGAATGTGGGCTGATCTTGAGTACCCTTTTCCACACTTTTTTGAGCAAAGGGATGCACGGGGATATATAACTTCTGCTTGGCACAGCGACCAGTGCGCTGATCCAGTGGTTGAACCAGCAAGTGCAGTTCTTCGCCATCCTTGGTTTGGTCATGGATGAAACCCAAATTGGCTGTCCTTTGGCCTGACAGGTTTTGCAATGTTTTGTAAACCCTTTTGTAGCTGCTCACTCCAAGGACTCCAAGGCCACGATGCGAACAAACTATACCCAAGGCATGCGAAAAACAGCTTCGTGCCTGAAGGCAGCGAACACCAGGACCAAAATCCGCAGAAACAATCGCTCCCTGCCAACTCGACTGGGCAAACATGAATATTGTCTGAAGTTACTTACCTTGGAAGACTCATTCTCCATGTCACAACATGCCTCATTATATAATTGTTTAGGACTCTCAACTTGGAGGAAGAATAGAGCATTGCAAGCTCTGAGAGCCTGAATGCATTTTCTCAAGACTTTGAGAATCTGCAAAGCGTTTTTGGAGGGTTTGTATGGGGCTAGCGCCTGCTTCCAGCCTTCTGGGAACAGAGCCACGAAGACATTGCAAAGTTGCAACATGTAACAAAAAACGGTATGCTCCGCAAGTATGGATGTATGTGCGGGCCCTTGTGGAGTCTTGGCCACGTCTGGCAAAAGCCTGTGCCTAGAACAACACTACCACATTCATTTCAAGCAACTTTTTTGAGCCAGCATCTGGCACTATACAAAGCAGCTGCTTTGTTAATGGGCTGCGGCTGGTTGAAGCTTTGGACATGAGGCTTGGCCACATTCATCTGATCATTTGTTGCTTGCTGGAGTCTGACCAGGGCTTGCATACAGAGCGGTGCTAAAGCCTCACTCAGCCCCGAGCTTTCTGCAATGCTGTAATTATGTAACTGAAACACTGCAGCACACATGACAGAAATTGAACACGCTTAAAATCGAGCAGGTAGGCCTTGACCGTGACTCAAGCGCATCAGCATCAATCCGGAAAGAGTCTTTTTCCTATGCTGGTCATCGCACACCACAAAAGTATGCGTTGGCACAAATATCTGCGCCACTTGGATTTCCACCAGGCTCAATCTTGCACTGGGTGGCACGGCCTACCCGCCAAACATAGCCGTCACATTTCTCAATTGGCTGCAACGAACAGTCATCGTCATCCTTTCCCAGCTGCTCTCCAGCACATTCTGGCAAGCAATTGGGTCCACTCTGACAATGGACGTCAGAATCTGGTTGATACTGGCATTGAAGAAAGCCTCTCTTTGCCCCAAAGCACCTGGAAGCGCGGAATTTAACAGCTTGCACGAAAGAAGCCTGCTCTATCTTTATGCTGCTGTACTTCAGTCACTACAAACCTAAAGACACACACACACAGCCATCAGGCTACTTGCCCACCCTGTCTGCTGTGTCTGCTACTTGCAGGTGACACCGAACTGGACCTCCTTATATATATATATACAGTATATACACTTACAACTTGCAGAATGCGGAGAGCAAATCTTGGAATCAGTTCAACATCGAGTTGGTTCAAGAATGTCTTCGTGGACACTCCAAAACACCGCAATGTCACAGCATGTCCAGCCTGTGGAAGCCGGTGCAATCAGATTTGCCAGAGCAGGGGTCAACTTGAGCTTTTTCCTTTGAGCACCTTAGGACATTGTGACAAAGCTACACTAAAGATCTGTTCTCTTGACAAAGGAGTCCTGCAAGAATTTGTTCTTCAGGATGTCAGTTCTTACAGACTCCTCATCCAAATCCAAGCGTCTCAGTCTGCTCGCTCCCTCGACAGCATGTTGGACAAGTTTGGCTCGGAGGAGATTTTGTCTTGGATTCCCATGCCCTTAGCGGACAGCCAGGATTTGCAAGTCCAAGGAGAGTAGATATATATATATATATAGTGTTCTGTTCAAAAACCCTAATCTCATCATGTCAACGTGTGTGTGTGTGGCATTATAGTCATTGTCCAGTCCTCTGGCCAAGGCTCTGCGCATCTCGTGGAAGCATCTCCTTAAGGCGTTGCCGGGTTCAGCGTAATCAACACTCACAAAGTCTGTGTCCAAGATCCCTAGCTGTATTGCAGGAGCTAAGCAGCTAGTGAGGAACAAGGATGACATTTGGACAAAAAGGCGATCGAGCGTCTTCTGAACTTGGCCTTGCCGTCAGACTGCTTTCAGGCTCATTCCCTTGAGTGAGCGCACTCTGCAAGGTCTGCTCAGAGATTGAAGCGCTTTCGGCAGGCAAATTGGAACCCATGCCAGCATAGTCACCAAACTCGAATTTGGTCTCCGCATTTCCGATAAACTCACGGCCAAGTGTGGTGGGGGCTGAGCTCAAGACCAAACCTCCAATCCACCATAACATGAGCGAAATATGGACAATTGCATTTAACTTGATCACGCAATGGCTTCAAGCTTTGACAGTTTCTGCTGCCAGTCAAGCTAATGTTGATTGCAAGCAAGGAATGTCCAGAAATATGTCTGAAAAAGCCTCCTTGAAAATACATGGCCAAATCCAAAGCGAGCATTCCGAAACTTGAGAATTGCCACGTAACGGCACTGCAATTTGAAAGTAGCAGTAAAATACATATATACATGTACGTATATGGGATCTAGTCCTGATTGAAACATCTTTTTGGCCAAGAATGCCAAATCAAAGCAAGTACACTCCATGCCTATGTGCCTCACTCAAGTGAAGATGATGAAAGGTATCATCATGACAAACAAAACGACCTGGGCAAGCGTACAGGTTGTTCCAACACTTTCAGTGAAGCAGCCAAGGTTTGTGCGCTGATGGCAACTAAGATCATGGTGCCTTATATACGCAATTGTGCAGAGTTGGGCAAAGTGAAACAACAAACAAAACCACGTTGCAAAATGGTTTGACAGCAATTGAATGGGAAGCTCTTGGATCCCATTGCCAGGTGGGGCACATAAGAAACTCATCTGTCCAGACCGCAGCAGTCTTTTGCCACTCTCCGTATGGGCACTGACGTTGTCAAGACCTTCGCCAAATTAAGCACACTACTCCGCAATGTTCGTGTTGCGTTTAGCATGCAAGTTTGATGCAGGTGATGAATGGCCATCAAAGCAAGGGTCTCATCTGCTTTGCATTATTTGTCCAAAGCTGCCCAAGGCCGCAAATCATTCAACTGTGTTTCTGTTGCTCCTTTCGCGCTTCTTTCCTCCTCATTAATGATGTGAAGGGGAACTTCCCCAACTATATATTGGTTGGTTGGCACAAAATTGTAAGGAACTTGCATGTCCAATAGGCTCAACAAGTCAAACTCCTAGTTTGTGATCGTGGGTTTTCCTCTATCTGATATACTATCTTCCTGATTACATACGAACTCCTTTGGTTGAGGTGCAAGGGATCTGCCTTGGCATTCCTGGGTTTCAGTTGTGGCTCTTCACATTTGCCAATGACCGATGGCCTTGCAAATATTGGATCAACCTTTCTGATGAGAAAACCAAACATTATTTCTAATAGAAACAACACAACGGAATGCATCTTGAACCTTGAATGTGACTTGTTCTGGTGAGTCAGTACAAGGGGGGTCAGGTGTCAGAAACGCAAGTTCATAGCACATTCACACAATGTGTCTCTCTCTCTCTCTGAGGGTGTAGCTTCGTTGTTGGGCGGATTGCATATCCTGAACAATCCGATCACTTGCTTCTCAGTTTCACACCACATAATTATACATATATAATACATGTCACTCCTCAATGCCATGAACCACAAACTAAATCAATGCCTCTAAGCGGTCGTTGTCTTTCTTCAAAGTCTGGAGGAAAGCATTTGCCGCTCCTTTTCAAGACTATGTGCATGCTGAGGCATGCTGCATGTTGCAATACTGTAAAGGGAAACAGAAACGAAGCAGGATGCTGGCCTTTCATGTTTTCGGCCAAGTCAACCATTTCTGTTTCCAGGTTGCTGCGGGCCTGTCAAAGGACAACAACTCATCCGTTGAACACAACCCTAGAAATCTGGGGTCGCCTCACCCCGCGCAAGAATTGGCCTTGTTCGAACACTGCAATGGTTTCTGGGGCGGCTCAAATTACGACAAACAAAGCGCTGAATCTGGCCCAAACATTTCCAAGGTGCCAACTTAGTTTTCAAATTCGTACCTGCAAATTTCGTGTCACGTTAAACGAATACCCAACAACATCAATGGATGCAACCACCACCTGCCTTCAGTTCGAGGTAAACATTGCCTTGGGAAAACCATGAAACAATTATGCGAGATCGGAGTCCGGAATTGTACATTTTTGCGCAGGAAGTTCACAACATAGGTGTAACTGTAACTAGGGTGTCAACACGTTTTGTGGCTGTATTGCGATCCTCCTGTCCTGCAAAGCGAACTTGAAAAGGTCAAGTTACATGATAACCTCATCAAGATTGGCTTCAGCCGTCCTTTGACGCATAGCGTGCACGCGCCTCTTCAGGATCCTGTCCAATTTGAAGGTTTGTTCCCCTTGCAGTCAATCCCAAAATGTTGTGCCTGCTGGATGTCTCCATCATTGAAGTCATTTGTCTTTACATTGTCCTGAGGATACTCCGGAAACCTGAGCACCCAACTCAAAGGACCGCGTGTTCATCAAAATTTGTCCAAGGTTCATGCTGACGAGCTGTCAACACGTTGCCTCAATGGGAATTTGTAGTTCGCCCTACCCCCCCCCCTTTGCACTTGAGAAAGCGGCTCAGCCGCTCAATTCTTGCACTGTACTGTTCTGCCAAGGGTTTTGGCAAAAGCTCCCAGCGCCTCATTTTCACCGTCAACGTTGCGTCATGATGTCAGGTTGCTGACATGGATGATTCCAGACTATTCCACACTCAGGTATGAACTCCAATCGGCTTCTCAAAGCAGCTTCATATGAAACAACCTCCGCCAAGAAAGGCGACTGCATCCGTTTTGTGTTCTGCAGTGATTTCAATCGTAGAGCACCTTTGCCTTGCGAACGGTTGGGTCGCAATCTTCCTGAACTGTGCGCTTGAACAAGACTTTTGGCATCAGAAAAGGCACTTGCTCGAGCCTGCAATTGATTTGAATGAAGGGCGGCCTCTACATGGGCAAAAACCAGCAGGAACCTCGGAAGGGGGACAAGAAAGGCTTGGAATTTCTTTTTGGTGCTGAGGCCGGTGCTCGGCACGAGCAGGAGGCAACCTGCCAGTGGGTCTTTGAGGAGCGATCCTCGAATCTTGGATGGGTGGGGAGTGCCTGTCTGCAGGCACTGGCGCTGGCATGCTGTGGCGCTTTGCAAGCTGAAGCTGAAAGCCTGTACCCCTGAATGGCCCCATGCCATCCAAACCTCTTGAAATGCGCCTGGAAATGGGGCAACGAAACGCTTTTCAAATCTTTTTGGAGTTTTGCAAAATAGCATGCTCAGTGTTTTGTCCTCACTGTGTCCTGAAGCCTTTGGTCTTTTTGATCAAACATCTACAAACAAATCAAGCAACGGTCAAACGGGCTGTGGTGGTGTTTCGAGCCTGCCCATACATGCTGTGAGAGGATGTGTTTCAACAATTCCACAAAACACATGGAGCGTCGTTGTGTGTTGACAAAGCCCGAACAATGTTGATGGCGATGTCCTGGGTTTAATGGAGATTGGGTTCTACATTGCAATGTCCATGGTGCAAAGGCACGCGAGATACTTGCACGCAACAAAATGCCGTGGCCTCCCATTCGTTTCCAATGTTTCCTGGTGAACTGACCTTGCTCCCGGTGTTTGTGGGAGGGAGGCTGCCCCTGCCAGGTCATCTAATGGACAGGGTGTACATTTCAGTTCAATCTTGGGTTTTTTGTCGACGGCAATATGCCCGGACTTTGCAACCTTTCTTACTCACTGATGCAGAAATTCAACAGTCGATTCCTCAAAACATGACATGTTGATACTCCTTATCTTTGTCCGGCCAACGGGATGGAACCTTGAAGCTGGAGAGCATTGAGGGGCGAAAGCTGGTCGCAAAGGGAATTGCATGGGCAATCTGCTCAACCCCTCGGACATGTCCAATTTTTCTGAGAGCTTGGAGCACACAAACTCCGCAAAGCTTTGGCAACGGGCATTGTTGAAGCACAACTATGGGCGCCATACTGTCTAGCCGCCACTGTCTCCGCTGCATTGGCTTACAACTGCTGATGCTCCAACATGCAAAGCTGTGACCTTAAGATTTCGGCAGCTCAGTAGATCAAACTGTGCTCTTTCAACCTCCTCTCAACTAGAACTGAAGTGGACTGGGCTGATGGCAGCGATTTTCCAACCTTAATCAAACCCTGCATGAATCCTGATGATCTCTTGTTCGTTTTGGTTTCTTTCGCGTTTGTCAACTAATTCAACTAGAGAGATTCTCAGGGTCTTACCCAGTTCAGACTTCGATCTTTAATCTTTCGATTCAGCGGTTCTGCCTCAACCAATTTGAACTCAACCCCACACTTGGCATCTAAGTCAACTCAACTGCACTTTTCCATCCTGCAGGGCTCAGACCAAGAACTCCACGAACATCACACAAGAAACCCAAAGGAGAAGCAAGTAGAACCAAAAGACCTCACCAAATTGATCTCGTCCCGATCAAGACCACCCATGAACATTCGGACAAATGACTGGCGCCTCGGGTGTCCATGGAAGGCCCTGCCACAGACCTGGTGCCGCAAGAATTGACTATGGCCAGTTGAGAAATCTGGAGAGAGAGAGAGAACGAGCCTTGAGCTCCTGGTGCTCGTGTCCACAAAAAGAAGTCATGCCTCAAGCTAGCAAATGGTTTATGCGGTCATCAATGGAGCATGGTTGTGATTGTGGTAGGGGCGGCCCCATGCGGCCCCAATCCCCACTGAAGAGCCAGCAAGATGAAGGCACTTTTACATCACCAATGGCTCCAGCATTTCAAAACTAGAAGACGATTCAAACATCAAGTCGACCAGCAAATCAAGTGAGCTCTTAGCAATTGGCTTTTGCCTCATTGGGCGCCAACACTCTCATCCATCAGTCAGTCTGGAACAAAGGCACTGAGTCCAAGTGCCCTCGATGCGAGTTGCACAGTGCGACCTCACGCGTGGGATTTCCATCATAGTTGTCATCATCATCAAAATCTGCCTCGACAATACGGTTTCTCGAGAGACAGCCAGCTGCATATGTCTCCGGTGGGTACGTTGGAACAACGACACCCAAGGAACCATAGACGCCCCCAAAAATAACTCGGGTGCACTCCAAGCATTGAATGCTGCTGTCTGGGTTGATGCTGCGGCAAGTGGCCTTGTCTTCTGAATCAAAGTGCCGATGCTTCAGGAATTTTTCAAAGCCGCTGCTTGTGTCGCTGCGGAAAAGCCAAACCTCCTGGGAATTACTTTGGCCATGAGGTGCCTGCAGGAAACACTCCGTCCACGAGGGCTCAGACATAGCTGTTGGGATCACTGGAGGAGGAGTTGCAGCGACCGGTCCGCAAGCATGTAGCCTCGTGCAGTTGAGGCGGCAAGGCTGTAGCACACAAAAGCCTACATGCAGCCCGAGAAGAAAACTGATAAACCTCACCGCAACCCACCAAGGACCTTTTTGATTTTTCATGCCGCTTGAGCCGCTGCTTCCCGGACGTTTGATGCAGCACTATCCCTCCCCGTGATGGATTTCCCTGGTTGCAAACTCGGTCACCCACAAGGGCATTTGCAGCAAATAGACCTCCAAGGTGTATCGCCCGAGGCTCACCTATGGCTTTTGAATTGGCCGCACGGGGCGCCAGTGACTGTTTCGCATCTCTCAGCTGCCAGCCAGGGTCTTGTGGGACAGCAAACTGGCTGTCAAAGATCCTCCACTCTGGGATGCTGTGCCTCTCAACTTGTCTTTGGTCAATTTGTTTAAGATGGTCAACTAAGGTTTGATGAACCGTTCATGGTCGACAAGTCAACTAAGTCAACTCAACGTGTCAGCATGACAATATAGAAAAGTGCACAGGAAGGGCGCGGAGAGTCGAGCAAACCTGAAGCGCAAGAAACTTCACACAACAGCAATCACAGAATTAGCTTGGCAATTATTGGCAAAGGCTGAAACAGCTGCTCCCACGCGACGTAGTGACCGGGCCTTCAGAATACTTAGACTTAGCAAAAAACCATCAAGTTGGAACCGCCTCAACAAATTGTAGACTGTCAAATTTGATATCACATTCACAAAATGGAACAAGTCTTGGCCTCCACTGATCAGGACCGGCCCAATCCTCTGGTGTTGTTGGAACTGGAACCTGGCAAATTCACATTGATTTCCATCTGTCTTAGGGGCATTCTTCAAAAGTTCATAGAACTCCACGCGTTTCCTGTTCGTAGCTGTGGGCTGAGCAGCCCACAACCATGCAGGCACAAACAAGGACGACAATTGCAATGTCACCGATCCATCCAACCTGAGCTGTCTCACATGCCTCAATTTGTGAAAGTTGAGCGAGTTGAAGCTCTCAATTTGGCAACTTGATGCCAGCCCAACCTCTGCACGAGGTGGATTGTGGTGGACCTTGGTTGTTGACGCCTCAAAAGTTGTCCTGTCACAACTATTTTGTGCTAAAGACTATGTTGCCGAGGAAAACGCGATAGATGCAATGCAGCAACCCAACCTCACAGACAAGGAAGTGGTACTACACAACAAAAGTACTGACAGGCTTCGCCCACCGGCGTTGCCCGTGGGGGGACTACGTGCATGCGGAGGCTCCTCTTTGGTGACATATTCATGACCACTTTCGACCGTCGAAACGGTGAAGAGAACTGCCGATCTCCTGATATTGGAAGAAACCATATAAGTCCAGGTGGTGCTAGATGGGTCGGCCGCAAACCGACGTTTTGAACATCACCGGAGCTTACGATTTTCTTCAAACAACGCCAAAAACACAGGGAACATGATAAAAACATGCTACGGTAAAGCTTTATCTCCAGAGAAGGAAGTATGCTACGAGGAGAGGAAGTTTTGAGGTAGCAGTTGTGTCGAACACCATTGGCATCACCAGAATACGAGCAGCGCTGTTCATAAACTACATACACGTTGCAAAAACATTGTAATTTACAGTGTTTTCTGCTTAGTCGTGCGCCAAAGAATTTGTATCTTTCCTGCCGAGACTCTGCTGATGCTAATGATGCCCGACCAACATTTCTCCTCTAAGCTGGTATCCATTTTCAATGCTTTATTTTCCAAGAAGTTTGGAAACTACCTTTTCATCAGTGGCAGTTTTTGATCATTTTCCCTCAGTGTTTGACGTCTTTTGATGAATCCACATGAGCCTGGGTGATGCTAGAAATGGGGGTCGGCGGCATCGCGCGCGTCTCCATATAGCAATCCGGGCGCCGGCCACGCGCACGTTCCCTTGCCGGAGGCCTTCGGTTGGTAACCGAAGGTTATATACGCTCGCCGCCCCTGCCGCCGACCCCCTCCGCCCGACCCCCGCCCGAATCCGCCCGACAAATGTATATGTAATGTATATGTCTCTTGCGCTGGATGTTCGAAAAATGTTCAAAAACATCGTTTTTTACAGTGTTTCGTGGCCTTCGGCGTCCACGACAGGGTGCCCGTGGTGTCAGTTATGCGTGCCGCGCGGACAGGCTTAATCGACATTTCGTGGGTGTCGGGCACGTGCGAAGAGCAAAGGCGGAACATGTGCTCCAAGATGATCTGACAGAGGCCTTCAAGAGGACTTAACATAGGTCTCAGATATGGCCCACATAGCCCCAAGATGGGCGAAGATTGCCTCAAGATGTGGCCCGAAGTCCCGGCCCCCGTCGTAAACGAGGGTGGGAGAGCGATGCTCCCCCACAACCTGATAGCAGGGATAGGGAAAGAGACAGGGACAGCTACCGACAGATACCGCGACGGAGACAGAGGCAAAGGAGAGGGGAGAGAGAAAAAACAGCGAGAGACGGAAAGAAAGTGAAAGACAGAGACACGAAAAAGAGAGAGAGAGAAAGAGAGATACCAGGACGAAGACAGAGACAGATACAGACAAAGAGAGGAAAGGGAGAGAGAGAATGTAACAGACAAAGCAAGAGCGACAGAGAAGAGAAAGTGCCGTGCCCTACACACACCCTCTTTATGCGGCTTTTTTGGATCTTAAGGTTGGGTTCTCTGTCTCTCTCTTTCTCTTTTTTTGAGCCTTGGTGGGGTCTATACTGACCAAAGTTTGGCCATCTGGTGCGCATCTTAGCACTAGGTTGGGCCAAGTTGGGCCCATGTGGTGTATGTTGAGCACATCTTAAACCCATGTTGAAACTATGTTACACCTATGTTAGCATATGTTGGCATATGTTCTCCTGGGTTGGGCCTATGTTGCCGCACGTTGGCCCCATGTTGCAAACGAGGCACCGGCCCTGCACATATCCCACACCCAAATAGGCCGGCGCCCGGCTGTCAGGCGTAAGCCTCTTAAATCTATGCTTGATATGGTCATTGGTACGGCATCGCCGGATTAATGTATGTAGTGTCAGCCGCTGACCCCACTCTTCTTGGATTAGGTTTGCTGAAACATGTTGAAGCTGTGCTATTGTAGAGCTTCGATGCCGGTTGAGCGCGTGTTCGTTATCGTGTTCAGTTTCTGATTTTTTTAGTATTTTTTTCGGCTGTCCGTTGCCTTTGTACTTCTTGCTTTGTTATTAAGTTGTTGTTCCTTTCGAATGCGTCGCGCGCGCGCGCGCAAAAAGAGACCAGGCAAAATCAGTCTGGTGGTGGAGAGGCCTTTTTAAATAACACAAAAAATAGAAAACATGGTAAATATCAATGCTTTTTGCTGCTTGAGGCTTCAAATGTGCCCCAAAACCACGCTATTTGCATAGTTTTTTGTGCTTTTACGCCAGGAAACCACGTAAATACCGATGCTCTTTTGAGCTATCGAGTGCTCAAAGCCACGGTATTTACGAGGATTTCTCGAAAAACACGATATTTTCAGCATTTCGCGCACCACGCTCCAAAACAGTCGATATTTACGCCGTTTTTGCAACGCTGCGACATGTCTTTTTTATATCGACATTTGTGAACGCATTGTAATTTACAGTGTTTTGCGCCTGGGCTCAAACCGAAAAAAGGCTTCAAAACTGTCCCTGTAAGGCCTAAATCCCATTTTTTGTCCAACTTACCTGTATTTTTTGATGACTTTTTCGACATCCCAAAGTCCACCAAAAAGGCCTCTCCCCCACCAGGCTCAAGGATTTTGCTACATTTCTCGTTTTGCCGTTTTTGGAATGGCTCCAGGAGCAAAGACGGCTCCAAACACACGCGAGAGCGCAATTTTTTAATTTCAATTTCACAAAACACCGTAAGGGGGGGTCCCGGCATCGGGAGCACCCCCCAGTAGCCCGTAGCTAAGGCTAGAGGCGATCAGCTACGCCATACGGCATCGCCGGATTTCATCTTGGCGCTGTTGTTTTCCTTCCAACTAGCCTTAAACTTTCTCTTCTGACCTTTTAGTGCAATGGCTGAAACTAGCAGCTGTCAAATCAAAAGGAATCTTGGTGCCGGACATGAAGTCTGGCATCAACGCTGGTGGCCAAAACCAAGTGAAAATAAGCTGATTCCATTTCAACCAACTTCTCTGCCAAAACCTGCGCCAATGTTCTTGCACCCACAACTTCACAACAATGCATGTGCTCTGGGGAGCCAGCAGGATACAAAGCCTTGGAAATGGCGGACTCATGCTCTGGCCGCTGCTGGCCCGAGGGCCAACTCATGTACAGCTGTAGGCAAGCAGTTGTGATGCGATCTGCATGTATGATTGTGTGGCAGTGTGTCCCTTCCTTCTTTGCGCTGCAGGGGCAGGCAAACGAAAATATGGACGCCGCGGTCACACACCAAAGACATCCAAGAAGATCGCCAGGAGAGAACCATAGACGCACTCATCACTGGAGGCACTATTCACTATTACTAACAAAAACATGTTTTGCACAAACACAAAATTGTCAAAGCAACTTGTCCACCACCGTTGCAATTGAGATAATTGAGGATGTCGGGTCAGGGCAATCATGTTGTAGTGTTCTCTGGCAAAGTTCTCTACCAATATATAGACATGGCTAAAAACATAGTCCATACAAAAAGCACCTGGCAAACATAAGATCGAGATAGAACAGGAAACAACAATAACATAAATATATATTGTAGCCTTAACATTTTATGCTTTGAGATGATATGCAAATCCACAGCGCGCACTTTTCCTGCACTTGCACTAATGCTGTTTAGTTTAAGGCTTAAGGAAAAACGTAGGTGCCAGGAGATGGTCTTACTGCTAGCCCCAGAAGAGCGCATAAACATGCATAAACAGCAGAACTTATATAGTGATTTTATGTTTTTTTTGTAGGATCTCCTGGTGTCCTTCCCCATTCTCGGTTGCTCCCAACCTCATTGTGTGAGGTTCTTGATTTATCACACTTCATCACATCACACTCCATCAGACTCCATCGCATGAACATGAAGCTTTACCACACCAAGCTTTGTCACACCACACGACACACCTCACTTCATTTTGCCCACCCCACCTCATCTCACCACGCTTACATGGCAAGTGCAGCCTTTTGCACAAAGCCACCCTGCGGTTCAATCGGAGCTTCTCTATGAGTGCCCCAAGTTCTAGTCGGCAACGCCAGCTGAATCTGTCCTAGATCAGTTTTGGCAACTGCTCATGTGCAACCAAACTTGCGCCAGCAATCAGCATGGTAGGCTAGTAGACCTGGCATTGGTATCGCTTAAACACGGAACTGATAGCGGAATAGGGCCAGCAGGATTCTTGATAAGGGCAAAGTACTAGTGGTGTTCATGTCAGGCCATGCCATGATCACGCCAGCAAATCCCTGGGCTTTTCCAGTCAAGAAGCGTCATCATTTGCGAACGGTGGCAAGGGCTGGCAAAAGCTTATGGTGTCGGCTTGAGAACTCCAAGTGCAGTCGCGCTCATTTTGGCACACTGTTTGCTTGTTCAGGAGTGCTGAGCAGAAGTGAAACAACCAAAACTAATCAATCTGAGAGCAAGGCTGGGGACCAATTGCCAGGCACCAAAGTGTGAATGCCAAACACCTGTGTGGCCCCCCCGAACACGTGGCCGGATCGGCCATACCGCACTTACCGAGTGGCCAACATGCAATGCTTGGCGGAGCTCCCCCTCATCGCAACAAGCAAACTTGCTATTGAGGACCCAATAAGACATTGCACATTTGTGCAAACCAAATTGTCAAGCACCCAACGCTTGCGGTAGGAACTTCATCCATGGGTACAAAAACCTTGCGCAATGCTGGGGCTCCACACGGTTGTTTTGCTTGATGTGCCCGAATGCCACTCCCCCGGCAAGAGACCCCAAACAGTGTTGAATCCAAAAGGCCCAGGGCCAAATGACACAACTTCCGCACTTATAATTAGAGCACACACACAAACACACGTGTGAGCTAACATCATCTTATGTGAGCAAACACATATGTGAGCAAACGCCTCGTCAAAAAATGTCTCCCCGCAAAATACGGTAGGTATGAGAAGGCGCGAAGGAAGCTAGCTACATAGGTATTCTGGGCTGTCTTCATGGCGTAGGAGACACCCTAAGAGGTTGAGGCGCCTCTGTGAAGCAAGCTGGGAGGGGGCATGGATGCGGGGGCCTTCAGAATTGGCGAAGCTCTGGAGGTGAGAGTTAGAACATGGAATGTCAAATGGGTGAAGCACCCGATGAAAATACGTGGCTTTGACCTAAAAAGATTCGTCGCAATATTTTGTAATGGAGGGAACCGAGTCTGCGATGCTGGGCCGGGGTGGGAACGACAGATTCAATTGAATACAAACACTTTTTTGCACTACTGATTGGTAGACCTGGGGACGGTAGCAGCTGTGCGGAAGAAAAAGGCCAACAAAATGGCTGCAGCATTTGCTTCGCGGATGCGGGATGCGGGTGGAGATAAAGTTTGCGCAGGAACCAAACGAATCGATTGGCACTCCAAAGATCTCCAAAGTATTTATTTGCAGTAATTTAGCAAAGTCAACTAGTGGTCGCGCAGCCCATTGCCTCCGCAATGTTAGCAGTTACAGCCCAGAGCATTTACCGCGCGAACATATATGCGTTCGTGACCATTTAGCACTAGGCGCTCACATTTGGCGGCATTAAAGGCGATAAAACCAAAGGAGTGACCATGGCGCTGGACACTGTGAAGGAGACGTCGCCACTAGGACTGTGTCATCCGTAAACTGGAGGTCCCATAAGCCAGTCGAGGGAAGGACCCCAGGGATAAGGCCGAATCTGTCTTGGTGCTCAAACTCGACATATTGAAAAATGGTCCTGGTGGTAAGAATAAAGAAGTACAGTACGGGGAAACAAGTCAGGCGACTTGATGGGTTGGGCTAACGTAAAAAGAGACATGGCTTGAATGAGGGTTTCCGTGACTTGATGAAAATGGCGAGAGTGGGCCAAAGTTTCATGGGAGATGGAATGAAAAACCGTGGCCCAGTCCAGGAAAACAACAATGGATAGGCAAAGTGTGTTTTTGGTGGGCCTGCAGGAGGTGTCTCACAATGCGCATAGGCTGGGAGTAGTAGTAGTAGTAGTAGTAGTCGTAGTCGTAGTGGTAGTAGTAGTAGTATGTAGTAGTAGTAGTAGTAGTAGTAGTAGTAGCCGTAGTAGTCGTAGTCGTAGTCGTTGTCGTAGTAGTAGTAGTAGTAGCAGTAGTAGTAGTAGTGGTAGTAGTAGTAGTAATCGTAGTGGTAGTAGTCGTAGTAGTAGTAGTAGTCGTAGTAGTAGTAGTCGTAGTCGTCGTCGTAGTAGTAGTAGTAGTAGTAATAGTAGTAGTAGTAGTGGTGGTAACGTATGGTAGCAGTAGTGGTGGTAGTGGTAGTGGTAGTGGTAGTGGTAGTAGTAGTAGTAAAACTAATAGTAGTAGTAGCCGTAGTAGTGGTAGAAGTAGAAGTAGAAGTAGTAGTAGTAGTAGTCGTAGTAGTAGCAGTTGTAGTAGTAGTAGCAGTAGTAGTGGTAGTAGTAGTAGTAGTACTAGTAGCAATGGTATAGTAGTAGTGGTAGTGGTAGTGGTAGTAGTAGTACTAGTAATAATAGTGTAGTAGTGGTGGTGGTAGTAGTAGTATTTTTCACCTGCCCTGGGTGCGGACGGCTGCCGGTCCCTCCCGTTGGCGACGCCAATTGACGTGCGCTACGCCTAAAACATAAGACCACCGCCGCCTGTCTGCAACCACTTCCAGAATTTTGTGTTTGACAGCCTGTTCTCCGCCCGCTCCGATAAAAAAATGGTCATTAAAAATGGTCATAGCCAGGGATAAAACTTGTTCAGTCCATTTAGCTCTGCGCACGCCCGCCCTGAAGGAAACGATCGTATGTCACTAGCCTGCTAGGGTGATTGGGAGGTCGCCTAAGAATGTGCCCCAGCAACTTAAGTTGATGCAAGCGGATGTCATCGCTAAGTAGCGTTTCATGTAGTTGCCGTCGCACGTCGTCGTTTGTGATTCTGTCCATCTCTATCTGCATGGCCCCCCACGTGGTGGGAACATTAGCTGTGGAACGCAAACATTTGTGGTGGAAGGCATCAATGTGTCTGTGCTGCGTGTCCGTCAACCAGAGTGTGCCTAAGTTATAGAGAAGCTGGGAAACAACACACGCACGATAGATACGAAGTTTCTTAGCTCTGGAAAGCCTGCCATGCTTGTAGTGGTGGTAGTATAGTTGTTGAATTCTCAAATCACGGTCCATATCTGGGATAAATATACAGAAAAACATAAGTTTGGGGATAGGGTTGCTAAAAATTATAGATCCTCTTCCAAAGGGATATGAGGACTGTGCGTCACCAGCCTTGCGAAACCGACGGCAGCAGTTAGAACGTCTTCGTCCCAAACTCCACGAGCAGAAACTGCTATATTTTTCCCCAGATAGCGTGAGCTAGTCTAGGAAAGATGCGTGTGTGCGCTTTCGAGCCTGGGTGCTGTAGGGTGCCGCTGCTGGGTGTGCGGGAGCTTGGGTGTGTGCGACTGTTGTGCGCGCGTGGGAGCTTGGGTGCTGGTGCCACTGTGCGTGTCTGAGCTTGGGTGCTGGTGCCGCTGCTGTGTGCGCGTGGGAGCTTGGGTGCCGGTGCCGCTGCTGTGTGCTGCTGCTGTGTGCGCGTTGGAGCTTGGGTGCTGGCGCCGCTGCATGCTGTGTGCTGCTGCTGTGTGCGCGTGCGCGGTAGCTTGGGTGCTGGTGCCGCTGCTGTGTGCGACTGTTGTGTGCGTGTGGGAGCTTGGGCGCTGGCGCCGCTGCTGTGCGCGTGTGGGGGCCTGGGTGTTGGCGCCGCTGCTGTGTGCGCGTGGGAGCTTGGGTGCTGGTGCCGCTGCTCCGTGGTGCTGCTGTGTGCGCGTGGGAGCTTGGGCGCTGGTGCAGCTGCTGTGTGCGCATGGGAGCTTGGGTGCTGGCGCCGCTGCTGTGTGCTGCCGCTGCTGTGTACGTGTGGGAGCTTGGGCGCTGGAGGCGCTGCTGCGTGCGCGCGGGGGCTTGGGTGCTGGCGCCGCTTCTGTATGCTGCTGCTGCGTGCGTGTGGGGGCTTGGGTGTTGGTGCAGCTCCTGTGTGTGCGTGGGAGTTTGGGCGCCGGCGCCGCTGCTGTGCTGCTGCTGCTGCTGCGTGCGTGTGTGAGCTTGGGCGCTGGCGCCGCTGCTGTGCGCGCGTGGGGGCTTGGGCGCTGGCGCCGCTGCTGTGTGCTGCTGCTGTGTGCGCATGGGAGCTTGGGTTCTGGCGCCGGCTGTTGTGTGCGCGTGGGAGCTTGGGTTCTGGCGCCGCTGCTGTGCGCGCCGCTGCTGTGTGCGGGTGGGAGCTTGGGTGCTGGCGCCGCTCCTGTGTGCGCGTTGTGTGCGCGTGGGAGCTTGCGTGTTGGTGCCGCCGCTGTGTGCGCGTGGGAGCTTGGGTGCTGGTGCCGCTGCTGTGTGCGACTGTTGTGCGCGTGGGAGCTTGGGCGCTGGCGCCGCTGCTGTATGCCGCTGCGTGTGCGTGTCGGAGCTTGGGGAACGACACGTCAACCGAGTCATCCCTACGGGCTATCTTGCAATGACCTATCGCTTCCGTACAATGAGAGAGGCCGGTGCGGAGATTGCCTATTTTCGCCAAATAGATCGCACCGTTGAACTGCCCGATACAGAAGGGACATCTCGAGAGGCAGCGGTACAAACCAAACCACAAACCTCCGCGTCTAGCCGTCAGTAAGGGCCGCTGCTGTGCGCGTGCGCCCCTGCTTTGTGCGCGGGGAGCTTGGTGCCTATGAGAGCTTGGCCTGGTGCCGCTCCTGCGTGCGCGTGGGAGCTTGGTGTTTGTGGGAGGTTGGACAGGTGCCGCTGCTGTGCGCGCGTCGTCGTCGTTGTCGTCGTCGTAGGAGTAGTGGCAGTAGTAGTAGTAGTAGTAGTGGTAGTGGTAGTGGTAGTGATGGTGGTGGTAGTGGTAGTGGTGGTGGTAGTAGTAGTGGTAGTGGTAGTGGTAGTAGTGGTAGTAGTAGTAGTAGTGGTAGTAGTAGCGGTAGTAGTAATAGTAGTAGTAGTAGTAGTTGTTGTTGTAGTTGTTGTAGCAGTAGTAGTAGTCGTCGTAATAGAAGAAGAAGAAGTAGTAGTGGTAGTAGTAGTAGTAGTAGAAGTAGTAGTGGTAGTAGTAGGACTATTACTAGTACTAGTGCTAGTAGTAGTCGGTAGCAGTAGTAGTAGTAGTAGTAGTAGCAGTAGTAGTAGTTGTAGTCGTAGTAGTTGTAGGGTTAGTCGTAGTAGTAGTAGTGGTGGTAGTAGTAGTAGTGGTAGTAGTAGTAGTAATAGTGGTGGTAGTTGTAGTAGTTGTAGTAGCAGTAGTAGTAGTCGTTGTACTAGAAGCAGAATTAGTAGTAGTAGTGGTAGTAGTAGTAGTACTAGTAGTAGTTCTGGTGGTGGTGTAGTGGTAGTGGTAGTGGTAGCAGTAGCAGCAGTAGTAGTAGTAGCAGTAGTAGTAGTAGTGGTAGTAGTAGTAGTAGTAGGAGTAGTAGTAGTTGTAGTAGTAGTAGTAGTGCTAGTAGTGGAAGTGGTAGTGGAAGTGGTAGTGGTAGTAGTGGTAGTAGTAGTAGTAGTAGTCGTAGTTGTAGTAGTAGTAGTAGTAGTAGTAGTTGTAGTAGTAGTAGTTGTTGTTGTTGTTGTTGGTGTACTAGTAGTAGGTGTAGTAGTAGAATCAGTAGGACTACTAGTGCTGGAACGAATGCTGCAAGCGGAGCGGGCCCCGCTCCCCTGCACGAGCGGGCCCCGCTCCCCTGCGCGAGCGGGCCC